GCAGACCTGGCACCCATGTATGCATTTATACTCAATTTCTTTAAGGTATTATGGGGTTGAAGGTTGTCAAATACCTTCTCATCAAAGTTGGGATCTAAAATTTTACGCTCTCTACGGAAGTAAGGAGCATCACCCCATTCCAAGGACAAATCCGTAAGGTTTTTTTTATCACATAATTTAGCACTGCAAGCCTCTTTTGGTTCCTTCACATTTTCCACGTGTTTGATTCTTAATTGATGAAGTTTATTCATATACTCCAGCTCCCCAATTCTATAACCTTCCTCTTTCTTAACATAAAATCCATCGAGTTCTTCAAGTGAGTTTAACTTACCAATCCCATACAACCCAGGGAAGTGATCCCAGGGTAATTGCAGATAATGAAGATTAAAAAGGTTGTTCATATCCCTTGGTAAGAAATCATGAGAAAGAATAATTCTTGGAAAAAAATCACAGACTATGAATTGCAATTGATAAAGACTACTTAAAGATCTTGGCAGCCGAAGGAGATTAAATTCAAGCCATAAGTATCGAAGGTGTATCAAATATTTAATTGCCTCGGGCATCATTTTCAAGTCTAGAGCATGTATATATAACAAACGTATGCTTCTTGATGCTTTGAAGATTTCACCGAGCACACAGATAAAATCTTGATCATCTACTAAGTAAGTTAAATGAAGTGAACGCAATTTTCTAAATTTTGTCACCTTTCTAAGCACATCTAAATTTTTAGTTTCAATAGATAAGTGTCGAATACTCTCAGGAATTGTATGAAGTAACTTTTCATCACCCATAACTCTAAAGCACTCCTGTGCAGAAATAGATTGTGCCAATTCGTGTAATAAATCGTGCATCGTATAATAATTGCCATAGTCCTCAGTCTGAAAAAAAGATTTTTGTACCAAAACCTCGAAATACCTTATTCCAATATCCTTCATAGTATCTCCTCCTCGAACATTAGATGTATGAATGAAACCCAAAGCAATCCACATTCGGACTAAATCATTTTTATCAAACAAATGATCTTCCGCAAACATGCCACAAAATGAGAAACAATTTTGTAGAGGCTTCGGTAGAAACATATAACTCAATCTTAAGATCGGAAATATATCATTTTTGCCCATTTCTCCATTTCCAATATCACTATTTAAAACTTTCATCCAATGCCTTTCATCCAAGTTAGAATTCAAAATACCACCCATGACCTTTGCTGCTAACGGAGATCCATAAACCTTTTTTACAATCTCAACTGCTATGGATCTTAATTTAGGATGATGAACATCAGGATTCTCTACATTAGCAAAAGCATGATTGTTGAGGAGATGTAAACAGGCATCCTCCTCCAAGCCCTCCAATCTAAATGTTTCCTTCTTCTTATTAATCACCTTTGCAATCATCAATGCAACAGAATCCATCCGAGTTGTTGTCAAAATCTTACTTCCCAAACTTCCATAAGTCAGAGGAGCGAGCACATTCTCCCATTTGCTTTTATCCTGCTCCTCTGACTCCTCCCAAATGTCATCCAGCACAAGTAAGAACTTCTTGGCAATCACCTCAGATTTAAGACTTCTTTGAAGTGCCTCAAGTGATTCCAAATCAGGCTTCTTCATTTTAAGACATTCCAGCATATCTCTAAAAACTCTTTTCACATCAAAGTTATTGGAAACGCAAACCCACATTTTAAGATTAAATTCCCTTGTGATTTCATCTTCATAGACATGTTGCAAGAGAGTTGTCTTCCCCATACCACCATGACCCACTATAGAGAGAAGAGAAATGTTGCTCCCGTACGAAGTAGTGCTAGTACTAAGAGTCTCATTTTCATTTGATGGCTTCCTCAACCACTGCATAACAAATTCTTTTTCTTTAACTCGACCAATAAGATTATTTTTAGGCAAGGATCCCGTTTCACGTGTTTTGTACAAATCAATCAACTGCTCCTGTTGCTCCTGCTTTGTGCTTTCTAAAAGATGAAGAAAATTGCCAACATCAGCTGATACTCTATCAAGCTTCTTCACAACCTCCTCCAGTTTTTTCAATAAGGGATCAATTTGGAGAGCACGTTTACCAATTTTAACAATTCCTTTCTTCATGGAGCTCATGGCGGAACGCAGCTTTGTTTGCTCCTTGTTTTCGTTCAGCTGATTTTCATGCTTCATGTACTCAAACTCATCGAGCACATCATCTGCTTCATCTATGGCATCTCGTAGCTGCCATAGCCATTTGTTCAGATCCGGGTTTTGGTCTGTGATCTGTGCTTGGCTGGAAACAAGGACCACGGCTTGGATCTTGGGGTAATTCTCTCGCAACCTTTCCAGCTCCTCCTTCATGCCTGTCTGCCATCTGGCTTGATGTTTCAAGTACTCAAAGCCAGTGCTGACGAGCTTCTCCATGATTGGACCACCAAACCATTCTTCCATGGCGCCGATCAAGGTAGAGCAGAACTGAACAAGAGGAGAAAGTGTCAGACAGAAAAGGGTAAAATTTCCCGACAAGTTAAGGCGTGTTAGATCTGCGTAATTATATTTGGGAGATTTTTACATAGCATAAATTCCTATATTTTGTGTGCGATGTATGTAAATCCCCCTTGAAGTGTGGAAATCACTCGAACAACTAACCTTCCAATGCGATATGCGAAATCCTGAAACTTAAAGAGTAGTCAGTTCTACAGAAATTTCACTCAGCCTTCCTCGTAGAGCTCCAGTCGGCGCCGCTCGAGTTTCCGCCGGACATCCGTCGGCCGTCGGTTTCCAGCAAGCTCCCTTCGTCTTCCAAACTAAGCTCCGAGTTCGTCACCGCCTTCGTCGTCTCCTCGTCGAGGCAGAAGATGAAAAATATTTTAATGTTATCTACTGAGTCCGTGAGTTTGCGGACAGCCTATAACAGTTTTCTATATTATTGATGTAATTTTACAAGGTGATTCTAACGAGAGTTTGCTACATGTAGCATATAGTTTTAGTTTCTGATTGGACTCCTGATTTAAAATTTTCTGCATAAATGAGGAGAAATTATTGCATATGGATGCAGTGTTCGATCCTGACCGTAGTCATGATATAATTCAGTTTTTTAAAAAAAAAAATTACGTAGGCCTCACCAAAATATATCCCACGATCTACGGTCAGGATCTGACACTGCAGAGATGCATGCAGTGTCTGTTCGTATGCAATAATTTTTCGTAAATGAGATATCATTTAATGTTAGATCCTGATTGAAGTCCTAATATAAAATTTTCTCTGTAAATGAGAAATCATTCAATGCTATGACACAATTTTACTTGGATTTTTTTATATGTTTATACTTTTAATATTATAAAAAATAAGTTTTTAAATTATACTGTTTTTTAAAAAAGTGAAATATTTATCCTTATCATTCGGGGAACAAAAATTATTGATTTTGTTGCATTAAGTAGTTAATGCTTTATACTTTGATTAAGTAAAATATCTTAACAACCTAACTTTTAAGCATAATATTTTAATCATTTTTTTCATTACAACTATTCCTAAACCCAATCATGAAAGTTTTAAGTGAAGCTTTTTTTTGTGATTAAAATGTTATATTTAAAATTTGAGCAATTAAAATTATATATTTGATATTTTGAATGTTCGGTACGAAAAAAAATTTTTTGGTTTAATGATAATCTCTCCAAGTCTCTCCAAGAAATTGAGAAACTCGTACAAAAAAACTGATATTTTAAATTTAATTTACTTTTCATTAAATTATAGTTTTACCTTTTTTGGGTAGGAAACCAACGGGAAATTACAAAATAATCGCATTATTAACTTCATGTATAATGAAGGTGGCGGTTTCATTATGCGAAGACAATGTTGAGACGAAGAAATTCACACAATAAAAGTCACACAAAAAAGATTTACGTGGTTTTAGTGTTGAATTGATTCGTCTACGTCAATGGGGAAAAACAATCCACTAGCATCAGATGGGGAGAAGAAAAAGACTTGGAGTTACAACTTCTGCACTTCTTACAACGCCTCTCCATGATAGCAATGTCCCTTCAATAGAAGAGGATTAAAGGATACAAGTAAATAAAGCCAAAATATCAAATTACCCCCAATTACAATAAAAACCATAAATACAAAAATTTTCATCTCATCTCTTACTTACAGGTAAGTGAGAGATGGTCATATGAGCTATAAACTCCAATCAGCTGCTCTAAGATAGCTGCCTACGTACCTCCCTCTCGAAGGGATCAAGTCTCGCCTAGCTCTTCAAAATGCACACTGGCAATGAGGCATGTGCTCGGACATTCACCAAACTTCTGCAGCAGGTGAAGTTATGGAATAATATCACCTTCGTGAACATGCCTATTAAATTCTCCTTTGTATCTATCTTCTTCAACAGAATATCGTCGTTATCAATCAAGTCTCAAATAAAGTGGTGTTTCACATCAATGTGATCGGTACGAGCATGATAAATTAGATTTGGGACCAAAAATATTACACTCTAACTGTCACATAATATCGTCGGAGACTCCTGATCAACTCTCAATTCATCTAATAGGTCCTGAATCAATATCGTTTCCATCATCGCCTATGTGACTATTATGTACTCAACATCCATAGTAGATAAAAGAACAATAGACTTAAGAGCTGACCTCCAACTGATTGAAACTTCTGCCAATTTGAATAAATAACCTATCGTAGATCTCTGATTATCCATATCACATGCATGGTATGAGTCATTGTAGCCTACACAGAAATCTATGGTAGATGACTTCCTCTCAAACATCAAACCAACATTAAATGTACCTTTCAGATACCTTAGAGTACTCTTCACAACCTGCTAATGCTTCCATGAACTTACTCACAACACCAACTGCCTGTGTAATGTATGGTCTAGTACAAGCCATGACATACATCAAACTAGACCAGCACAAGGAATTGATTGCATATCTTATTTTTTCTGATTATCTTTAGGATACTTATCTGAACTTAATTGAAAATGAGTTGCAACAGGTAAACTCACCGCCTTGCTCGAGTAATCAATCCCAATTTTCTTCAACACATTCCAAACATAAGTTCCATGCGAAAGCCAAACATTTCCAATTGTCTTGTCCGTGAGAATCTCCAGGCCAAAAATTCTGCCAGCTTCACCTAACTCCTTCATTTTGAAATATTTGAAAAATTGATTATTCATCCTATCAACCTGAATTTGATTGACATATCATCAACAAATAGAAGCATGTAAATGAACTCGTCATTCGCAAACTTCTTAAAATAAGCACAGTAATCATACTAGCTCCTTGTGTACTCATGTCCCCTTTAGAAATGATCAATTTTTTTGTACCACTGTCGTGGTGACTGCTTCAACCCATACAAAGACATGTACAGTTAGCTTCTAAGCCGTTGGCCTTTCACCAATCATTTAAATCTGTCGGCAAAGCACATCAGACCACCTTCTAAAAATACTATCGACAACACACACTGAGTTTTTTGTTGTTGAAGCCAAACCAAATTTCAATCACAAACCTGAAGCTCTTATATCAATTGTTATGTGAGAACAATGTAGAAACAAAGAAATTGAACAACAACAATCAAACACAAAAGATTTATTCAGTTTGACGTTGAATTGATTTGCCTATGTTTACGGTGATTCCACTAGCACCAGACGGTGAGAAAGAAAAAAACTTTTTTGCCTACGTTTACGGTGATTCCACTAGCACCAGATGGTGAGAAAGAAAAAAACTTGGGGATTCAACTTCTACACTTCCCACCATACCTCTCTCATGAACCCTAACTATCTTTTATAGAGGAGGATTAGAACATACAAGTAAATAATGTCAAAAGATCAAATTACCCCTAATATAAAATTTTTTATTTGATATTTTGAATGTTTGGTACGTAAAAACTCCTTTGATTTGTTAATTATCTCTCCACGAAATTAAGAAGCTCGTCATTTTAAAATTAATTTATTATCCAATAAATTATAGTTTTCTCTTTTTGGGTAGGAAGCTATTGGGAAATTAAAAATGAAGCTGGCAGTTTAGCTATATCTAATTTTATTTAAGAGATAGAAAACTT